TTTTCTTCTTGAAAAGTTACAGCTAATTGGAGGTCCTCTATTTTCTTTTTCTTTTTTCTTTTTTTTTTTTTTTTTGAGAGGTTTTTGCTATAGGGTGCCTGCATGCATGCACTCGCCAGAAAGACAGAGAGACAGAAAGCAAGAAATCACCCCAAGGACAGATGAGAGTATTCCTTCCAAAATACATTGCTTTGGCTCTGGCTCCTTTTCCAGAAGATACAGCATTTATCCCAATTATCAAGAAGCTTGACTTAGTGAACTGGATTAGACTATGCCCCTGGACTCACCCAGATGAACAACAAGCCAGATTTCTTTGGAAGCCAGTGGGACCCAAGCGCAGTGGTTGATCTTTCGATTGGTCATAGTATAGTAGTCAGCATGGCAGCTAAGGGCCTGTGGTGCCCACAAACATCAGTTAATTTGCTCACAGCAGTTCGGCATTAACATCACCAATGCTGTGTGGTGAGAGAATCCTCTCCAGAATTCTAGGTGGGACTGGGAATTTGTGTGACTCAACAAAGTTAAGCCTAACTTGATAAACTGGAAGCTGTTGTAGTTATTATCAATTCTAAGATGCGTATTTATTCATTGGAGTATTTGAACATTTTTATTTTTCACTGAAAGATTTTATCTATTTTTTTGAAAACTGCCTGTCAATCAAGATAAACTGAACAAAGAGGACTGCAAACACTTGGCTGTTCTACTTCATTTTCAAGTCTGAAACCTCTCCTCATGGTTAAAACCAATCCATCCATTTCAGTCTTTGAGGGTACGCACGGCGTCTGATACCCATGATCTCTCTACTCTCTCCTTGAAATGTGCCTCTCGCTGGCTTCTCCACATCACATCACCCCCGGACTTTTCCTACTACTCAAGCCATTCCTGGAGACACCTCTTACAAGATCCACCCTGGTTAGCTGCCACTTTCCTGTTCCCTGGATCATTTCTTTTCTCAGATTCCTGCAGGGCCTTTACTATACTACGGCCTCGCCCTCTACCTGTATACTGTAGACTTTTCTCTAAAGCATCTTGAAATCTCAGTTTACAACCATCAACTAAATCTCATCCAGGTGCCTTTCCATAAATCCATACCCTGGCAATGGATGGGTGAGATTACTGTTTTGTTTGTTTAGAGTTTTTTGCCACAGGGTGTATGTGTTCAACAGAGAGAGAGAGACAGTGAAGGGAAAGTAAGAAATCACCCCCTGAGGGATGGCTATGCTGCAATCCCTTCTCCTCCATTCTCCTCCTGAGATCTTGGACACATATGATCACACACATGTGCCTGGTGTGATTTTCAAGCCACCAGGTCCAGGACTCGAACCACAATTTGCCATGTGGGAATCCAGTGACATAACCACTATGCATCTGCTGACTGTGAGGTTACTGTTGTTTTTAATGTAAACTTACTTATCACTTTCCCCCTAGGGGGTGAATTCCTTAAGGCTTGGGCCATTCCCTACTGGTCTGCCACTGTCGATGCTTACTACATTGCCCAATACATACCAAGTGTCAAATAGTTACTAAATGAGGAAGTGCATGGGTTAAAATATTAATAAATAAGGACCAGCAGATGGTGTCATGGTTACGTCACTGGACTCCCACATAGCCAACCACGGTTCGAGTTTGGTGGCTTAAAATTCATGCAGGGCATGTGTGCACGTGTGCCCAAAAACCCAAGAGGAAAATGGAGGAATTGCAGCATGGTCATCCCCCCAGGAAGTGATTTCTTGCTTTCTGTCTCTCTGTCTCTTTCTGTATTTCCGGTGAGTGCACATGCCCTATAGCAAAAATCTCTCTTAAAAAAATAGTATTAGTAAATTACTTACCTCCATCTCAAAGGAACAATTCTACTAACATCTGCATATGACAAGGATAAAAAGGAAAAGGAAGCTAGGACTATAGTATAGACTACTTTATTAGATTGATAAATTGTTCATATTACAGGGTCAGTGCCAATGAACACATCCAGTTTAACAAAACATACTGAGTGTTGGGCTTCAGTGCCTTCAAATTCAGGCATCTACGATTCTGTGTTACCTGCAGCAGCAGAAACATGTCTATCACTGTCCTAAAGTGTGAGGAAAGTAAAGGCCTAGTAAAGGCCTAGGGATGTCTGATCCTCTACACTTGTTATTCCTAGAAAAACAGCAACTCTGTTCCCATGACCCTGGCTCAAGAGAGCTCAGCCTGCAGTCTCTTAAGGTCTGACCTGGTTGGGGCGGCCATTCCATGCCTGCCCACCAATCCCCAAGTGTCAAATAGTTACTAAATGAGGAAGTGCATGGGTTAAAATATTAATAAATAAGGACCAGCAGATGGTGTCATGGTTACGTCACTGGACTCCCACATAGCCAACCACGGTTCGAGTTTGGTGGCTTAAAATTCATGCAGAGCATGTGTGCACGTGTGCCCAAAATCCCAAGAGGAAAATGGAGGAATTGCAGCATGGTCATCCCCCCAGGAAGTGATTTCTTGCTTTCTGTCTCTCTGTCTCTTTCTGTATTTCCGGTGAGTGCACATGCCCTATAGCAAAAATCTCTCTTAAAAAAATAGTATTAGTAAATTACTTACCTCCATCTCAAAGGAACAATTCTACTAACATCTGCATATGACAAGGATAAAAAGGAAAAGGAAGCTAGGACTATAGTATAGACTACTTTATTAGATTGATAAATTGTTCATATTACAGGGTCAGTGCCAATGAACACATCCAGTTTAACAAAACATACTGAGTGTTGGGCTTCAGTGCCTTCAAATTCAGGCATCTATGATTCTGTGTTACCTGCAGCAGCAGAAACATGTCTATCACTGTTCTAAAGTGTGAGGAAAGTAAAGGCCTAGAGATGTTTGATCCTTTACACTTGTTATTCCTAGAAAAACAGCAACTCTGTTCCCATGACCCTGGCTCAAGAGAGCTCAGCCTGCAGTCTCTTAAGGTCTGACCTGGTTGGGGCGGCCATTCCATGCCTGCCCACCAATCCCAGAACACCTTCCAGCTTCAGAAATACAGTGTCAGCAGGGGAAAGGACCTGCAATAACCAGGTGGCAAATGGAGTAGTGAGTCCCAGAGGGTCCCACCAGTTTAGGGGAATCTTCCTGCACAAGGTCCCAGGAGACTGTCCCCTCTCCCTATCTCTCCTCTCCAGTTCTGCGTCTGCACTCTTCTCTGCATGCATAAGTTTTGCCATTCAGTTCCTTCTTTGATGCTAATGGTCCCTAAGTCTATACATCAGGCTCAACTTCAAAAGTTCTTGTTACCTGTTTCCAACAGTCCGAAGGAAACAAAACTCCTATTGGGACAAGAATATAAAATTGAGGCGGTGGAAACCTTCCCTGATACTGCTGAGGTCTTCCTAACAAGGTCTCAGAGAATCTCAACCAGCACTGACGTCACACAAGACTGGGCTGCATCCCAAATCTGCACCCCCTACACGTGTGCTCTGGGTAGGCTTCTTCACCTTTTAAAGCCTCAGTCTCCTTGTCTAAAAACTGAGAATGCGTAAGAGAATACCATTAGGACAAGAGAAGCTGGTGACAATTCAAAACATATTTCAAAATAACCAGAAGAGCAAATTTAAAATATGCACACCACCAAGTGCTGGAGATGATGGGTAAGGTTTGTCCTGATCTGATCAGTAGACATGTGTATCAGTGTATACTGATATACAAATATACAAACAACAGTCTTCCCAAGACTAGCTTATTTCACGTATCAGTGGTACTTGTCTTTCTGTCCTGGCTTACCTCATTTAACATAATGTCCTCCAGATTCATCCACAATATCACAAGTGACAGGATTTCCTTGTTTTGTTTTGTTTTTGTTTTTGTTTTTTTAGCTTAATAGAATCCCAATGCGTGTGTACATCACATTTTTTTTTGTATTCATTCTTAGGTTGGTGGAAACTTAGGTTGGTTCTTTATCTTAGCTATTGTGAATAATGCCACAATAAACATACATACAGGATAAACTATTGAAAAACTATACTGTATCCCACAAATATGTACACCTAGTACATGTAAATTAGAAATTACAAAAAAAATGATTTTAAAAATTTCATAAACATGTGGATTCAATATAACTTTGGAATCTCAAGAAAAAAAGATCATGACTCACTAAAGGTTCAGCTGATCATTCGAATTTTTTAGCAATAAAGAGTTTGGTTTTGTTTTGTTTTGGTTGTTTTAGATGTTTTTGCATTTGGGCACATGTGCTTGCCACGGAGAGAGAGACACACACAGATACAGTGAGAGGGAAAGTGAGAAATCACCCCCCAGGAGGGATGGGCAACACCAGTCTCTTCTCTGTTCTTCTCCCGGGATCTTGGGTGCACACGTGCTCAGCATGAGTTTCAAGCCACTGGGTCTAGGATTCAAACCGGGGTCGGCTATGTGGGAGTCCAGTGATGTAACCACTACACCATCTGCTGGCCCCACAATGAGATGTTTTTAAAGTAAGGTCTACACATTGCTTTTTTAGAGAATGCTGTTGCACACTTCACAGACTACAGTATAGTATAAACATAACTTTTACGTAAACTGGAAAACCGAAATACTCATGTGACTCGTTGTATTGTGGTATCCACTTGACTGCGGTGGTCTGGAACCCTGCCTGCAGTACCTCCGAGGTTTGCCTGAAGTACAAAGCCCACGTGTGACTTACACAAGGAACCAGCATTCCCACTTGACTTCTAGATCTTTTTCAGCCACAGACCGGAGAAAGCCCACAGAAAGGAATAACTAGTCTAATCAAAAGTTTGGTCTCTATTTACTCTATAAAAACCAACTTTTAAAATAGAAATCATCGAGGAATACTGGGTTTTGTTCATCCTTAACCTTTCAATTGCTTTCACTGACTCAAGACATTAAACTTTCATCTGGAAATATACGACTGATCTAAAGGGAGCTAAAACATAAAACAGATACCTTCCTTTTGTAGAAACAATATTTACCCTTTAAGTCAGCACTTCACTCGGAAAGATTTAAAGCAGCGTACTCACCTGTAGCTGAGATATAGTTAAGGGGTACCGGAACAATATCCAGGTCACACCTTCACTGCACGGTGGGATCGTAAGAGAGCCTTCATATACCCAGTAATCCCGCAGCAAGGGATCTGTGCAGCCATGTGGACAGGGCAGGAAAAGGCAAGCTCATTAATAACAATCTCAGAGATTCCAATAACAATTTCCAAAATTACAAATTGTCCAAATGACACTTCTCAGGTGGATGTCATTTTTACACCAGAGTCTTATGTATGTAATTCTTAAATTAATCATGGAGAAATTAACCGAAGAAAAATATGATGAAATTTATTTCACCCCGGAGATTAATAAGAACTTTGCTGATCAATTTCAGAAGAGCACCACGGTTATTTTATTATGCTGGTGCTTTCCCCAGAGATGAAAATAACAGCATGTGATGATCCCACACAGGCCCTTCATGGAGTACCGGAATTAGTGGCAAAGTATCTCTTTATTATTTCAAAAGGTTTACTCGCATATTTCGAGTAATCTGGAACTGCTACCTGCTATAGGAAGTGTAAATTATACAAACCATATTAACTAATACACACATACACACACACACTCACACACACTTTAAGGAAAACAGTGTGGTTTTATCCCATTAAACTTCATCTCACATAATCAGATTAAGGCTTACCTGGTAATAAAGTATTGGGATTAAAGCATGGTATTATTTTGGACTTTCCCTGAAAAAGAAAAAATATTTACTCTTTATTAATGTAAAATTTTAGGATAAAAACATATTGGGATGAAAAATCTAGAATGGAGGCTCTCAGAATAGCCGCTCAGGTCCCACAGGTGTGTGGGCATCCCGACCCGCCTTCCCTCTGGAGCTTCCTGTTGGGTCCAAGGAGGTTCTTCCACTCCGCCTTCCCACTGGAGCCCACTGCTGGGTGCAACGAGGTACTCCTGCTCTGCCTCTGCGGACCTCTTCTTTGCTACCTCAGTCCTGGCATGAACTTAGCAACCAATGTCCATCTGTCCCCTGCCACCTCCTTCTTTTTGCTTTTAGCACATTCATTACAGACACGTGGGCCTGGTGTACAACACCTAGGTTTTGGCTGAGGGAATTCTTTCAAAATGATTTTCTTCCTGCTTGCTTCAATCTCAGTTCTTAACCCTATTGGCATTAAACCTAGCTCCCAACTCCATATTTTGTCCCACCTGGACTTGTTAATTCAGCCCTAGAATCTAACTGAGAGGTGTTTCTCTAGAATAAAAAGGATCTCTTCAGAAAGAAAGATCTGAGGGACCAGCAGATGGTGGAATGGTTACATCGCTGACTCTCATGTAGCCAAGTGAAGTTTGAGTCCTGGACCCGATGCCTTATACTCAATGCTGGCTGTATGTCGGTGTGTGCCCCAAAACTCCAAGAGGACAATGGAGGAGAAGGGATTGCGGCGTGGCCATCCCCCCTGGGGATGAGTTCTCACTTTCTGTCTCTCTGTCTCTCTAGTGAGTACATGCACCCTATAGCAAAAATCGCTCTACAGAAAGAAAAGAGAAAGAAATATCTTCTTTAGAATTATTTTTAGGTTTTTACCATAGGGCACTTGTGCTCACCAGAGAGACACTAAGAGACAGGGAGAAAAGGAAAATGAGAAATCACTCCCATGGGGAATAGCCGCATCACAATCTCTTCTCCACTCTCCCTCAGGATTTTGGGCATGCAGCATGTGCCCGCCATGACTTTGAAGCTGCCAGGTCCAGGACCTGAACCATGGTTGGACATGTAGGAATGTAGCACCTTAAGCACCATGCCACCTGCTGGCCCCAAGACCATTATTTTAAATCAGACCATTTAGACTGCCTAGGCCTTCGACGTAGACAGATCTGTCATGTGACTGGATATCTCTCAACAGAGTACTCTATTGATACAAATGCAAAAGGGAAAGTTACTGTGAACCTCTAAGTATCTTCCCTACCTCCTAGGACTATTTTATACGTGAAAGAACCTAGTTTGCTGGCCTTCTGTTCCTCTCTTTCATAATGGCTGATGTCCTGTTCACTGAAGGAATGAGGGAAATTTTCTTGGTCCATTTCCACTGGACAAATGATATTTGTCTTTTGACTGGTCTGGGCTTCTGTTGGTAGCCGGGTTCATCATGAACCTCCTTGAGAGGTCTGGAGATTCTGCCTTTTCACTTGCCCTGGGCTGTGCTAGTGCAGAGATGACCAGACTTCATTCCCAGCTTGATCCTGGAACTGACTTTGGGTCTCTGGATCCCTTTTAATCAAGCAAGTTCAAGCCCTGCTCTGTGTCTGCGGTAGTCATACAAGACAAAACCATCCCCTCCCCAGGACCACTCAGCTTGTCCTGGCTCACTGTGAGCATGAAGAGATGGTTTAGAAGAGGACTTTGCAGGGCCAGCAGGTGATGTGGTGAAGGCACTGGAGTCCCACATGGCAGACTGCAGTTCGAGTTCCAGACAGGGCAGCTTGAAAATCATGACTAATAAATAAATAAATATTTTTAAAAAATAAAAATAAAAAAGAACTTAACTTCTTAGCTATGCTGGGCCTATCACTGCAAGATCAGACTGATGGAAATCTTGTCTGGGACATTTCCTTAAGATACAGTATATTTTTAAAAATTCATTTAATATAAATACTAAAGGGTGCATCTCCAAAATTTTGTTTATTTACACAACTTTCCTACAATGAGTAGGCAGGAAAGAGTTAACTGAGCAGGCCTGGGTTGGTCAAATTCCTCAAATAAAAGCTTGTCTCCAGGACAAACCTCCTGGCTCAAGCCCTAGGACTATTCTACCTGATAAGTGATTCTGTATGTCTGAGGCCTCGAGCCAAGCTGCATCAGTTAGTCTAAATAAATCCATCCTAACAATGTGACTTCCGGTGAAGGCCTGGTTTTGCTGAGGTGGGAGCCAGGGAGGGTTCAGTCTGAGTAGCTGAAATCTGTTATAATGCAAGTACTCTGTGCTTGATGACTGGCCCTTTGTAAAATCCTTTCACACCAAGGCTCAGGTGACCTTCCCTGGCTGGCAACATATTCCCTACATATGCTGTGAGATGTCATTGCTGGGAGAAGGTACAGGCATCCCCATGCAACCGCTCTGGGAGAGGACACCTGAAAGCTCGTGCCTGGCTTCCCTGGACTTCACTCCTTCCCTCCTTCCCCCTGCTAATTTCTGATCTGTATCCTTCCCACGTAATAAGCCCTAACCGAATGTTCAACAGCTTTTCCAAGCCCTGTGAGTCCTGGTAGTGAACCATCATCAGCAAGTGGCACGAGGACCTCCTACATGGGCTGCACTTCCACTTCCTTTGAAATAATGACTCACCTTGGGACCAGCAGTTAGCGTAATGGCTATGTTGCTGGACTCCCATGTAGCTGACCGTGGTTCAAGTCCCAGACCCGGTGGCTTAAACTCATGCCAGGCACGTGTGCATGCGTGCCCAAGATTCCGAGGGGAGAAGGGAGGAGAGGGGATTGCGACGTGGCCATCCTTCCTGGGGGGGTGATTTCTCGCTTCCTGTCTCTATGTCTCTCCCTGTCTTTCTGGCGAGCACACGCGCCCTATAGCAAAAATCTCTCCAAAAAAATAAAAAAGAAATAATGACTCACCTTATACTGAATATCCTGAAGAATTTCAGTCACAGCTTTTAAGCCAACATGTTCCTTTCCTATCTGAAATATAGAAAGCATAAACCACAACCACTTCTTAAATGCTTAGCTTTTTCTCAAAAGAACAGAACCAAGACTCTAATCCATCTGAAAGCTCTTCTTGTGAAATGATTAAGTGACACTTTTATTAATAACCAAGTCAACATCTACTAAAGATGAGTAAAGTAGGAACATAAGCTAATATAATAAAATATTAAATATGTAATGTCCAAGAATCCATTCTAAATTCTTTTTGCTATACATAGGGATCACTCATTGTGCTATATATAAGGGGACTTCAGAAAGTTCATGCAAGGGAACCAGCAGTTAGCGTAATGGCTATGTCGCTGGACTCCCACGTAGTCGACCGCAGTTCACGTCCTGGACCCGGTGGCTTAAAACTGTGTGCGTGCGTGCCCAAGATCCCGAGAGGAGAATGGAGGAGAAGGGATTGCAGCGTGACCATCCCCCCTGGGGGGTGATTTCTCGCTTTCTGTCTTTATGTCTCTCTCTGTCTGTCTGGCAAGCGCATGCACCCTATAGCAAAAAACAGCATTGTCATTAGTTTACCAAATCCATGCTGCACTTGCTGTGTGTTTGGTGACAACAAACCAACATATGGAGGCCCCAGGATTGTAAAAAGAACCTCTTCCACTCCTCCTGCTGCTGAAGTGGTTAGGAAGTGAAATGCCTGTTGGGTTTATTTTTGGGAAAAAAAAAAAAAAAAAAAAGATTTTTAGTCCACACAGTTTCTTTCATAACATATGCTCTCCATGAAGTTTTGAAGATCTCATGTGATATATGAAATCATAAAATAACATTATATAAAAATGTCAAGGATGTTTAAAATTTAAACTAGAACAGGACTAGTTGGTGGCATGGTAGTCAAGGTGGCTGGATTTCCCATGGCTGACTACGCTCTTTGAGTCCCAGATCTGGCAGCTGGAAAAAATGCCAGGCATGTGAGCATGGAGTCCCAAATCCTGAGAGAAATGGAGAAGAGATCATGGTGTGAGCATCCCCTAGGGGGCATGCTTTCTCACTTCTACTGTTTCTCTCCCTCTCTGTCTCTCTCAGGTGAGTGCATGCACCTTCTGGCAAATAACAAGAGAACTATTCAATTTCCATTTCTACCTTTGGGATTTATAGATCATTGTTATAAATATTTTATTAATAAAACGTTTTATTAACTGAGAAAATTGGGTGTGTGATTTTGTAGGTGAAGGTCACCAGGCTATGACATTTTTGAGTACCACTGGATACAATTCTATAACCATCCTTTCACTCTTCAGTAAGAATGTGCTTTCCATAGCTTCCTATTTATTTAAGTGTTTTTCTTTCTTTCATGAATGAGACAAAGACAGAGACACAGCATTCCTAACAGAGTCTCAAAGCTGTGATCCACCCCCTCAGCCTTCAGTCAGCCCCAGATCAAGGACACGCATTAGCCTGGCATGCTCAGAGAGGTCTCCAGACTTGAACCATGTGGGATTGCAGAGCATCGCGTTTTACCATTGTGCCACCATCTGACCCCTCATAGCCTTCTATTTTAAAACACTTTATATCATTACAAATACTTTTTTTTTTTGGTAGCAATGTTTACTTTTATAACTGATAGCTTATCAGTTAAGCTAGTCATCCCACCAGCAGGAACAGCAGCACCAAGATCTTCTAAAATTCTTTATGTATAAAGCTCGAATCATTATCCAAGTCCTTTTCTTTGCATGCTCGCATTGTTGTTATCTTATTTAACATAAAAGTGACACGATTTGGGGAGTTACTATTTGCTGTACTAAAACAGTTACATGGCATCATGTACTGTCAAGAAGCAAAATACGATCAATGGCAGTGCTTCTGCAGATCTTGAAGATGCCAAGTGTTCACTGCTCAGGCCAGCAGTGTATGTATTTCCACATGAAAACAGCAGAAGCTAAAAGAATCATGACACAAGGGATTCCTGAATTCTTTTATCTACCATTGATCCTGGGGCTTAGAACCTTACCCTTATAGATTATATTTGCTGATCATGCCAGAATCGTCTTTAACAGAGGAAAGGTATCAGTCTTATAGCAGGTAATGGCCCTTAGAGCAGAAAGGAGTTCTGTTTGCATCCTAGCTTCCATAAGAAGCAGATTAACATGGACCTTCTCAGAGTGCTTGAACTGCCTCCAGAAGCTGTCATGCATTCTTTTGGTAACCTCTCAGGAGTGCAAAAAACAGTTTTGATATAAGCTTTAAAACTACAATCCAATAGCTGGTTAATTTTACCATAGTCATGGTCATCCTATCTTATTCCAAACACATTGTGAATATACATCAAACAGCCCAACTAAATAAACATTGAGGTACCAACATCTTTGTGCATTCCATTGTGTTATTAGTAAGATTGTAAGCAATGTGAATTTTTTTTTTTTTTTGAGAGGTTTTCGCTATAGGGCGCGTGTGCTCGCCAGAAAGACAGAGAGAGACAGAGCCCCGGGGGGGATAGCCACGTTGCAATCCATTCTCCTCCATTCTCCTCTTGGGATCTTGGGCAGGCACGCACACGCACCCGGCATGTGTTTAAGCCGCCGGGTCCATGACTTGAACCACTGTCGACTGCATGGGAGTCCAGCGACATAGCCATTAGGCTAACTGCTGGTCCCAGCAATGTGAATTTTTTCATCAATCAATTGTCTCACATCTGGATAAAGGCTATTGGCCAAAAATACCCAGGGTCTTCCCAGCAACAGTCCTAAGTGCAAATGTTGGAACATGCATCCTATGTCTAGAGAAATCTTTATAGCCATAACTAGTGTGCTCAAAGGGACAAGATACATCTCTTCCTTGTGTAACTTCTTCATCATCTGAAGAGAAGACAAACAAGCTCAGTCTTTTTTCCATTTCAAAATGTGAATCCATGGGACCAGCAGTTAGCATAATGGCTATGTCGCTGGACTCCCACGTAGCCGACCACAGTTTGAGTCCCAGACCCGGTGGCTTAAACTCATGCTGGGCACATGTGCGTGCGTGCCCAAAATCCCGAGAGGAGAATGGAGGAGGAGGGATTGCGGTATGGCCATCCCCCTTGGGGGGTGATTTCCTGCTTTCTGTCTCTGTCTCTGTCTGTCTGGAGAGCGCACGCACCCTATAGCAAAAACCTCTCCAAAAAAAGAAAAAAAAAAAATGTGAATCCATCTCTTCCTGACTTGCCTCTTCATCATCTCACCATTCCTGTAGCTGACCCATATTTTCCATGAGGGCTTTGACCTCAAAAAGAATCACTTATCGAAACATTTCCTGCCTAGTTGACCTGTATGTCATCGACACTGTGACTGCCATTTGTAACATCACAGATGCAGTAGTTACTAACAGAAGGTGGTCTGAATGTGTGACCACCATCGCAATGAATTTCCAGACTGATTCTGCTGCCAAGCGTGAACAAGGCAAGAGAACGATGGTGTGTAAGCAGAAACACTGCGTGTCTCAGTTCTGAAATGGGCCAGCTGTGGTCTTCAGCTTTTAAAAGCCCCTCAGTGTGCTCTTTGATAATCAGCCAAGGTCTATGGGTTAACACTTTGTTGAGTTCTCCTAAATTCTATAGTTCTTTAGGAGCATTCTCTAAGCCACCGAGTCACTTGGTGGCCCATTGACATGAAGGACATCATTTACATGCAGGCTCACTAAGTAGGAGCAAGGATGCCTTGTTGCAGCCGTTATTTCAATGTAGCGTTAATAATGTATGAGTACAGCCCATCCATTTGTAGTAGATAGTGTTGAGTTTTTAAGAAACTTTATAAATATTGCAGGTGGAAAACCGTCACTAATATAATGTTATCCAAATGCTCCAAAGCAGCAAATAAATCTGCAAACAAAGCATGCATCTCTGAGTCTTCACTCTCCACTTGGAGAATCTCCTTTTCTGGGATGAATCTGTTTAGTCCACGTCCCAGTGCTTGAGGCATTCTAATTCCACATTCATTCCTGGAGACTAGGAAGTCCAAGCTCAGGATATGAGCAAAAGCAGGTACTGGTAAGGGCCTTCTTGCCATGTCCCCATGTGGCAGAGGCTGAAGGGCCACAAATACCTTTCAGTGTATAAAATACTCCAAAGCAAATGGAGACTTAACAAATTCTAACCCTTAGTAGTCTTTTTGTGTGAGGGGAGGAAGCAGAATATATTGAGATTACCTTACAAGTTTTCCTTATTCTTTGTTTTGTTGAACATTTAATCATTGTACACCTTTAGTGCATACAATACGATTTTCAAAGCATACATGCATTCATGTCAATGTGTATTACAGACACATCATCCTCAACAGGTAACTTTTCATGTTGTGTCCATTAAATGCCTTTTTGTCCTCCTGAGTCCCTCCCTCTCCCAACAAACAATACACCTCTTCCTACACACTCTCAGTATCTACACTTGCTCCTCTGCTATTACATATTCCCATCTTTCCAATTCTGTCATAAAGTTCAGACATTCTATGTATATTGAGGAGGGACACGCAATGTCTGTCTTTCACAATCTGACTTGCTTCATTTAGCATTAAATCTTCTATATTCATCTACTTTGTATCAAGTGACAGGGTTTCATTGTTTTATATGGCCGGGTAGTATTCCACAGTGTTCATGTGCCACATTCTTTCTATCCAGTCATCCATTCTTGGGCATTTAGGTTGATTCCATGGTTTAGTAACTGTGAATAATGCTACAATAAATATGGATATGCATGTGTCTTTCTGACCATTTTCTTATCTTTTCGGTAAATGTCAGTGAATGGGATTACTGGGTCATATGGTAGTTCTATTTATAGGTTTTTGAGGAACTTCCAAACTGTTCCCCACAGTGGCTGTACCAATTACATTCCCATCAACAGTGTAGGAGAGTTGCCTTTTCACCACAACCTCACCAGAACTTGTCATTCTCTATTTTTTTTAATCATAGCCATTCTGACGGGGTGTTAAGTGCATCTCATTGTGGTTTTGATTTGCATTTCCCTTATGGTAAGGGATGTTGAACACTTTTTCATATGCTTTTTGGTC